TTGAATATACAAAAAACGTTTGAACTGCTGACTTAGTAACTGGAGTCTAAAAGCAATCTGTAAGGTGGCAATAAATCTGAGCACAATCCTCCGCAATTGTTTTCTAATGTGTCCGTGAAATTAATGGCACAGTTGTTATGAAAGTTGTATCAGGGAACGTGGCTATTTTTTTCCCTGAGTAGGTTAATTATCACTAATGTAATTATTTTTGTACTGATTTTTATTTTAATCAAACATTGCATGAAACAATTTAGTTCAGAACAAATAGCTTATTACAGAAATGTTTGTGGTGGTGAGAAAAAAGCAGCGATGTTTAAATTATACACATCTATTGAGTTACTTTATTCATTAAAATGAACAGTTATGTTAGGCCTTATGAGACAGACTAAGCATTTCTTGATAATGTTTGTTCTGTAGAGAACATAATGAGAATTTATATTTGAAATGGATCCCATCCCTCTAGCTCAAGGCATTTATGAACTGGGCGATACAGAGGAGTTGGGAGAGCTTGGGGAAAATAAATAGTTAGAGTTAGCCCCTAACCAAGATGGATGCTGCGTTGCCCTGTGGTTGTGGGGAAGGCACTGGACCTGGGAGGGAGCCTTTTCTTTTCTTTTTTGGTTTTTTTGTTTCTTTGTCTGGGTTTTCTTTTGCTTTTTTTCCCCCCTCTGTTCTGTGGTAGTAGAGCAAAACATAATGTATCACTGTAACACAGTGGTTCTAGTGGATCCGGGTACCATGGAGCAGGGCCAACTTTGAACTTCCTTTTTTCATCAGTTGTTTTGAATGTCCTACAACGAACCAGTTGTGATTTGGGTTTTTTCTCCCGTTTATCAGATCAATTAATCGGTGCATGGAGTATAATAGCAGCAGTCAGCACATTATACTGTTGAAGATGTGCCACTTATCATCATGTTAAGTGGATGACAGGTAGATGTGTGATTTTTAGGACATTAGACGCATGTGTCTGCAGCATCTAGTGCAGCCTAGGTTTTGCATCCTTCCCAAGTCTGGCAGAATTGTAGTGGTAGTGGAGGGGTTTGTTGTGTCCCTCGGTACTGACTTGGTCAAGCGCTAGGTTCAAGATGCGGAGTTGTTGGATAGCTGTGAGTACAGTGTGGCTGGTTACACGTGTCAGTGGTGTTGATTTGGGAAAAATGAATTCCCTCATCCTTGGTGCGCTCTTTCTATATGTGACTGAAATGGAAGGTTCTACAAAAAAAAGCAACTTTTGTGTTAATTGCAAGAGTACTTTCTCACAATTTATGAAATTGTTTGCTTACTGGTTTCTAGATTATGGTTAGCATTTTCAGATAATCACTTTTTGATTATGGGATAAGAGTTTATTATATTTGCTTGTAGAAATGTAGGATTTGTAAGTACATAGCACTCTTCCTCCATGGAGATTATTATAGGCCTTTGTTATAAATATAATCAACAGTACAGCCAGCTTATTGGTGGGAAAATGGGAGGAAAAAAAATACGTGAAGTGCCTTGCCCAAGTTGATCAAAGTGGCCTGGGGGCAAGGTCAGCAAAAGAGCAAGAACCTCCTGAGTGCTGGATCTGCCATTTCTCTGGCTAATCTTGTCATCTCTGTTTTTAATAGATGTGGTTTAGTTATGAACCTTGGCCAGCAAGGTTGGTTGCACATTGAAACAATAGTCTTGGAAATCATCGTCCTCCAAACTGTTTTTGCTTCTGTCACATCTCTCCTTTAAAAATAGGAGGTAACATGCAAGAAGTTTAGATTTGTCGTGGCAGCCTGTGGCTCTGCTTTCTGTGGTTTGTGTCTCCGAGCGCTGCTCGGACATTCCCGGCGCTGGTTTGCCATCAGCGAGAGCTTGGGCAGGACGCGGCAGTGGGCTGCGCCGTGGCCGTGTCCCACCGACACGTTAAGAAAGCAGCGACCAAACCAGCGCTGCGGCTGCCCCCCTACCCCCTCAAATGAAATGCTCTGCTGTTTTGTTTCTGTTGAAGGTCTTCTTACCGTAGTTGTTGGAGAAAAGTTATCCTTGCTGTTTTATCAGAATTTTATGATCCTCATCCTGAAACTCTGAAGTCAGCAAAATCTTTAAGCAAGCAGTTTCCAGTTCATAGTGACTAAAAGTACTGGGGAAAAAGTCATTGAATGTAAGCAGGTTTGGATCTAAGTAAATGCAAGAAATGGCTGAACATAACAATTACTAACCACAATAGAAGTCTTTTTTAGATCCAGGTTTTCAAAAGCTAAGTTATTGCAAGGAAACTGCAGTAAAAGATGGAAGAAGGAGGGAGGGGAGAAGAGGGACAGGAAAAAAGTACGTCAGGCACAATTATTCAGTCCTAAAGCAGCCAAATACAGAGATTAATATGTTATTGCTTTTGTTTGCATTTCTGAAAGGAGTTATGAAACAATAATTTATTTCGAAGATGATTTTTTTTTTCCAAAATATTATTTTCTGAGTGGGGAAAATATCTCTAGTTTGACTCGGATTCTCATCTCCTGACGCCAGGCTCTGGTGCCAGGTGTGTTATCTGACAGGCAGTTTTCATCATTAATTTTCTCACCAGAAGCTGCAGAACGCTGCAAATCTTTCCGAGGCCAGTGAAACAGAGTTATCGTGGCGTCCTCCCAGGAGAGCGGAAAAAGGACTTTCCATAATTTTGCCTGATCTTCTATTTATCTCTTTCTGGCAGAATAAAGTACCTTTAGGCTGTCCCAACTACCCAGCAATGCCACGGAATACATTTGAGAATATGGAAATTCATCCTCTCGTAGTCATAAGGGGGTGGTGGGGATATGATAACACATTGATAATTCTGTGGTACTGTGAGATATTAGCATGCAGAAAATTGGTGAAAATCCTTTCATCACTGCAGACTGGGTCAAAATCTGTGCAGATAGGATGCCTTTCTCATTTCATATAAATGCATGCTGTAAAAAAGGCATCAAGTAACTTCTGTGTTTAACAGTTACGACAGAAAACAGAGGCTTCAGACTGGATCGATGCGTCTCACTTTCTAGCTGTACAAACCCAGGTAAGTTATAGTTACCCTGCCTCAGTCTACCTTTTAAAAAGGCAAGATACAAGTCAGCGATTAAGAAGAGTAAAAGAAGCTGCAAACTGTCCGTCAGTTGGTTTCTTAAGGAATTGTCATGAAATTTTCACAGGTGTTTTACGGTTCAGAAGTCTTGACCCTGGCTTTCTTTACTCACTATCTCTTTGATTCTCTTTCCGGCTAACATCATTTGTCGTGCCTCTGCAGCGAGTAAGTTATGCGGACACGTGCCAGCTTACTCCAGCTGTCTTGCGAGGCACGCACACGACTTAGGAATTCAGCCCCAGGTTTGTAAAGGGCTTGCTAGCCTTTAGTTGGAGCAGTGATGGAGTCAGGCATAGAAATGGATTTCCTGGCTCCTTGTGCATGCTCTTCCAGTAAGACCAAACTACCATTTACCAGTGCAATTAAACGCGTCTTTGTGTTCTCCTTTATCATCAGTATTCCTTCAGCTTCTCTAAGCTACATACCTTCAGCTCAGTGCAGTATGAAAGGCGAGTTCATGCATTTTTTTTATTATTTTATTTTCTTCAGAGTAAGTTGTGAATATTGAAGGTTAATGAAGTTTCTCAAGCACTGGCAGACCTCTAGAATATCTGTTATTGAGGGATTATATTTACAACATTCACAGCAGAGACTCTTGGTAGTACAGTATTTGAGCAGTGTGTGACTTCAGGGTTTATTTTCAAATGTATGAAATGAAGATGATACAGGATCTATTTTGAATTAAATCAGGAAAGTGCAACTTAATCCTTCAATTTAAGACTTGAAAACCCCAGTCTCACTGTATACATTAATAATCAAGGCAGCTGATTCAAGAAACTCGTCTTAGAATTTTTTACTTGTAGGGAGAATACTGGAGCTTGTAAGCATTTAAGTAACGTATAAAAGAAAAAAAAGTTGAAATTTTCTTTTTAATAACACTTACTTACATCTATCTCAGGAGATCAGATTTTATATTTGGAAAAAACATACGTACTTACACACAGAGCAGCTGTTGGAGCCACTGAAATTTTGCTGGGCAGCTGAGTTGGTAATTGGTGCAATGAATTGGTGCTGGGAATGTAAGGACTTTCCCAGTGGTTCTGGTCTAGACTCTTTCAGGGGAGCTCCAATGCTGAACCTCCCTTGTTCTTGGAAACTGGTTAGTGGCTTTAGCCTGGAACACTTTGAAATTACTTGTGAGTCTAATTTTCTGCAGTACTTGGGAGCATTTGTGCACATAATTTGGAGTTTGGGATTCTTGAGACTGCAGAACAAGTAAGACTTTCCATTTATTTAATATAATTGTTTATAATTTGCATTCCCAGAAGCATGTATGGTATTTCAAAAGCAGAATGTGACTTTGAAATTAAATATTATCTAATTATTGCATTTTTCATAGATGACTATTTTCTTTGTCCTTCATATTTCTCTACATGGTTCATATTGCAGATCTTGCCACATTCTCACTGATTCAATGTGCTATATAAGACACATTTCCTCCTCATTTAAAATATTAACCTGACCTGTAGTAGTTCCAAGAAGGGAAATCTCCTGTTCTGGTCTCGGTAAGAAGCCCCAAGCTCTAGATGCGTGGAAAGTAGTTTTGTGAATGTAACTCCTGCCTTACCTCAAGCCGTTGCAGTGTTCTTACTCATTTTCGTGCAACAAGGAAGAGGTTTACACTCTACAGTTTTATCAGATGTTGTGTGTCATTCCACCAGAATTAACTACTAATAAAAATGAAAAATGAAGACAATAAATACAGTCATGCATGAGAGTCCCATGCGAAGACAGAAGACACTAGCGTGTGTGGTTCCTGGTGCTTTTCCAGGAGTTTACCCCATATAAAGTTTATCCATTTGGTTTTCCTCTGTTGCAGGTTCCCCCTTGGTCCTCCCTGCCTTCCATTCCCACCCCAGTTGTCTGACAGTAACATCTAAATAACCAGCCTCTTTCTATTTCACATATCTTGTAGATCGATGAAATGCAGTGGGGCAAAGGGGTACGTGAAGTCCCGTCCTCGGTCTGCAGCCTGCCTTGCAAGCCAGGAGAGAGGAAGAAGATGGTGAAGGGGATGCCGTGCTGCTGGCACTGCGAGCTCTGCGATGGCTACCAGTACCAGGCTGACGAGGTGACTTGTTTGCTCTGCTCATACAACGAGCGGCCCAACGAGAACCGAACGGGATGCCGTTCGATACCCATCGTCAAGCTGGAGTGGCACTCACCCTGGGCTGTGATACCCGTCTTCTTGGCTATGCTGGGAATTATTGCCACCATTTTTGTCATGGCAACGTTCATCAGATATAACGACACTCCCATTGTCCGGGCTTCTGGGAGAGAACTCAGCTACGTCCTGTTGACAGGGATATTTTTGTGCTACATAATCACGTTTCTGATGATCGCCAAACCAAACGTTGCAGTGTGCTCCTTCCGGCGTATCTTCTTGGGCTTGGGGATGTGCATCAGCTATGCAGCCCTGTTAACTAAAACAAACCGCATCTACCGCATATTTGAACAGGGCAAAAAGTCAGTGACTGCACCTCGGCTTATAAGCCCCACATCACAGCTGGCGATCACGTCGAGTTTGATATCTGTTCAACTTCTAGGTGTCTTTATTTGGTTTGCAGTTGACCCACCCAACATCATCATAGATTATGATGAGCAGAAAACTATGAACCCTGATCAAGCCAGAGGAGTTCTCAAATGTGACATTACGGATCTACAAATCATTTGTTCCTTGGGTTATAGCATTCTTCTCATGGTCACGTGTACTGTGTATGCCATCAAGACTCGGGGTGTCCCAGAGAATTTTAATGAGGCTAAACCCATTGGATTCACTATGTACACTACCTGTATAGTATGGCTTGCCTTCATTCCAATATTTTTTGGCACTGCCCAGTCAGCCGAAAAGGTAGGTGAAAATGAGCAAACGTGTATCTGATATATCAGGATTCATCGCAGTTATAAACCACGTACTGATGTTCAGCTTTACATAGATTTTTAAATGAGCTATCCAGTTAGCTCATTACTGAGACGTGCAATATATAGCACTATTTTCCTTCTCCATTTAGCTGGTGGGCTATTCATTTGATAAACTGGCAAATGATCAATAGCAATCACATTAGCTATTAGTTTTATTGTTGTATCCATTTCAATTGTATCTTTTCAGTAGGATAAGTGGGAATTAGCTGTCATATTGTCCAGAAAGAGGCATCTCTTAACTAAATAATGTCGAATACAAGATGTAAGCAAAAAAACTGTCAAAAAATAGTCAAGTAGACTCCTGCGCTTCTGGAGTTCAGCACTGAGGGCAACGCATAGTCTGAGTGCTCTGCTTCATCAATAGCAGCCTCAGGGCACATTTACACCGCAGGGTAAATAGTCTGTCCTGAGCTTCAGCTGCTGAGACTAGACTGACATTGCATTCTGCACGGGTTATTTTTAAAGTAGCCCAGGTAGACCTACCCTATAGCTCATGGCAAGGATATAGCCAGAGCCCTGGGGTGAATGCCAGGTTGCTTCTTTTGATAAGTGAGGTCCACTGCAGCCCATGGAGTTCATTCACCAAAAGCCAGTCCAAAATGTTACACTTATGTGAGTTAAGAAAAAGCATCTGAACATTAGGATCTAATCCATCAGTTGGACGGCTACGAAAATGAATTATTGCAAAGCGCCATCATACTTGATTGAAAGATTCCTGTTGGCTTTGAGAGGTTTCCGACGCTGCAGCAGAGTCTGCGGTGTGTCCGTCGCAGGGCTCAGGCACACATCACTTCCATCCTATGTTCACGGCTGCTCCGGCACTGGCAGCTGAGGAAAGGAGCTGGGCAGCTTAGGGAAATACGCCCTGGCAATCACAGCAGACATGTATATGAAGAGATGCAAAACTTGGTCAACTTTGGGCTTTGCTGCCAACAGAAATCTGGTTTAAAGTGCTCTTTGTAAACATATCGAATCGGCTCTGCTGGACCAGCAGTTAGCTGGGATCCCAACCCAGTGTGTTGGAGCTGATGCTGTGATGGTTTAGGTACAAATATTAACAGCCTCTCTTTTGTCTCACACAAAGGAACAAGGAGAAAGTAACTCCCCCCTCCTCATTGTATTTATTGATGGTGATGGTGGCTTTGGAGAAAGCAGGCTATAATGAACAGCCAGAGGACAGTATGATTCATTTTCTAAAATGTTGTTGGAAGGTCTGTTGGCAAGAAAAAACCTTTTCAGATTTGCACGTAAAGTATTTTAAAAGGGAGAACCTTAGTTGCTTTGTGTGTTTTGAGTAAACAGTATTCAAGAGGTGAAAAATCGATCTACTATTACGATGTGGAGGGCTGAATCAGGCAGTGAGTGAGCATTGCAACCCCAGTTACCTCCTGGGTCTCGGGCCCCTTCTGTGCATTCCTGTTGCTGCCCCAGTGGCTCCAGCTAACGCTCGGTGATAGAGATCTGGTTTTACTTCTCTCTGAACCTTGTTTGGAGGTAGCTGTAATTTCAGAGTTATTTGGCAAATACCTGCAAGCCTAGTCTTTAGGAAGAAGTGAAAATATTAGACCGCCCTGAACTGCTGTCAGAATGTTTTACCCTCCCCAGCCCTGACCCCGTCTGCTTCCCCAGCCCGGAGGAAACCACTGCCGCGTCTCCTTACCTGCGGCGTGCTCCGGCTGAATCTAGGCATCATGGACCTCACCTCAAACGCTCTCCCACATACCTTACATGGACTTAGTAGCGTACTGTCAGTTATCCCCACTTACTGAACCCAGGCTTCCCGGTGCAGGAAAGAGCTTTGGCTTTTGCTTGGTTTTTTCACCTCTATCTTCATTTAATATTTGTTCTTTAACACAAGACTTGAGCAAGCTCACTGCTGTGGATAAAATTATGTCATCTTTTAAATGAGTAGGCAAATTTCAGATTCCAGCTAACATCTCATTTTGTGCCAGGGATATCATTTCCACAATTGCAGTTGTTAAACTTACGGGTTATTGAAGTAAAATTGCAGGAAGAGAGCGGTACCGGTCGGGCAGACCCATGCTTTGACTACACCTCTCCTCTGTAGGAAGGTGCCTGCGGCAGGGCTTTGTTCTTTGTAATGTTGGAGGTTGGTTGTATGGAGATTTGGGATTGCTTTGGCCTCAGTTTGCTGGTGGAAGAGGGGATCGCCCAGGAGGAAGCAGAGGTTAGAGAGGTTTTCACATATCATCTCACCTCTGCAATGGGCTTTATGGGCAGCCATTGCATCCCTAAAAGGAATTCATTTCAACTGGAAGGGAGATCTGCCAAGTCTTACAAATGCTTCAAACACCTCTGCTCTCCCTGTTGAGGGAGAGATAGGAAACAGCGTAAGCGGCTTTAAACACAGCTGGGCCCTTTTGTAACTTTGGTCTGGTGCAGCGAGTATGGTGCAGCTTTCGTGCTCCCTGCCTGCGGATGCTTGAGGCCTGCAGGTGACCGAAATGAAGTGCTTTAAATTGTTTGTAAAGATTTAACCAGGTGATAGGAAGACCCAAAGAATTTCAAAGGCTGCTGCCAGCATTCCAAATCATTTAGTAGCAAAAGCGTTAGGTTTCCATGTGGTCATAGAGCTGAATTACCCTGTACTACTTTGAAAGCATAAGATGCTTGTACAAATTCGTGTAGGACAGCAAAAGAGGTGGTGATTAACTCGATTTCACGCAGAGCGCAGAAGAGGGCATGGGGCAAAGGAAACGGCCCTTCGCTTTGCTGTGCTGCAGCCCAGGGGAAGGGTCTGTGCCGAGGCACGGCGCCGGTGGCACTGGCTGCCTCTCACTGGCTGCCTCTGCTTGGTGCAGCCCCTGGGCGACTGCGGCAGCGGGGACATTGGGGACAAGGGGCTTCACGGTCTGCTGGCTCTCAGAGCCCAAACTCCTCACCTGCTGCTGGGGTTTACCGCAATTCCTTGGACTGAAAGCCGCTATGTTTTGGCCAACAAAACGCGCAGTGTGATCATACCTGCGCAATGGGCGTGCGTGGAGCGTGGATGAATGCAGTGATGTACAGTCCCTATAGGTGGTCTGTCCTGCCCCCCCAGCCTCGGGCGCTGGCAGGCGCGGGCGGTAGCCCTGTGCCAAACCTGAGTGCTCTGCCCACGGCCGTGGTGTTGGGGCTCTGTGCCCCTTCTGCTCTGCGCAGAGATCGAGCTCCAGTAGCTTTGCTGCTTTGCTTTCTTTTTTGTCTCTCTTTTTTTGAGTGGGGGTGAGGGGAATTGTATTTTTTTGTGATTGCTAGTGATTTCCCGTCAGATATTTTCTCTGGAAAATACTGTGCTTAAACTTAGCCACACAAGTCTTTGCTGAAATGGAAATTGCACCTGCTGAAAATCCCGTGCAACACAATCTTTTAAACTGAGAAAAAGTGTTGTATATTATGTTGTGATTTTCATTGTATGGATTTATTTTATTTTATCAATAAATACAAGCATAATGTTGTTTGGTGGAAAGCATATTGAAAATACCTTCCTTGTTCAGTGTAGAAAATAACAACAACAAAAAAGAACTAGAAGTGTGCTGCAAGTAATTCATAAAAGGTAAATAGTTCAAGCAGTAGCATTTGCAGCAGACTGCAGGGAGGTGGTGTGGTTTGAGGAAGGGCAGATGTCAGAGTTTGTGCAACAGGATAGAGATAAAACGTTAGGTGTATGGGAGGTGACACATGGAAAAAGCAGATTCCTGGCCTTTTTGCAGCTTGCATTTACTCAGCCAGTTTCTTTGTCTGCTATCTAAAAATTCAGAAAACACATGGTCAGTTATAAATTATAGGCTTAGTTTGGTAATGCAGCATGCCGTTTCCTAGTGGGTGTGGAATACGGTTGTCCTTACCATGTTTCACCGTTCTTTGAGTTTCTTCGGCTTTGATGCAATGATCACGTAGCCGTTGCTCCATACCTGGGGATCGCTGCTGTTGTCTAGGTTTTGGGGGTTATGCCTCGGATTGAGGGGGGTGTGGGGGGTGTTTTCCTATAACTATTAGTATATATTCTAAAATGCCGGCATAACCTTTGAGGACCAGGACACAGTACTGGGGACTGGAATCGTGCCATGTCTTTGCTCAGGACGATCCTTCCTTTAGTCTGTATTTGGTAGAAAGACACTGAATGTGGAGAAGAGTCCCTACAGAGAAGAGAAGATCACTTATTCTTCAACTCTGAGCAGCTCCTGATGATTAAAACCACCATCAGATGAAGGGTCAGTGGGGGTTGAGAACAGGGGACGGTGTCCATCCCCGCCTGCTGCCCAGCACCTGCCTTGGTGTTGCTTGGCTTCTTAACTCGAATGTTTGGAGAGGGACTGTAGGGATGAAACATTGCTTTTATGCTCCTGGTGAAATTGTTTTTGACAACAAAACTATTTTAAATTCTCCACGGATGTGTGGGTATCTTATCAGAAACAAAGTGGCCTCAAAGAGCTGTTAAACCAATTATAGGAGTCATAGCTCCACGGCAGAGTCAATAGAAAGTGGCACTTGAAAAGAGCACAGATTGCTCTGTAAGGTCAGGCGAAGCACGGCTGAATCAATAAGCCAAATTGAGTCAAAATTTTAGAGTACAAAAGTGAAAGGATGGGAAGGGATGCAAGTGGTGTGGGAAGCTGCGCCTCGCACCCCGCCCCGCACAGCCCTGCACCAGGGATTAATTAGTCCCTGCAGCCTCTTGGTTGGTTGTTCATCCGCTTTTACTTTGACTATCTGTTTCTGATTTTAACTCATTTCCAGAGGCAGGGCACCGCAGTAGGGGATTGCCAGGGCTGATCGGAGCCAGCAGATTGGGGCCAAGTCCCCGTGCCCTGTCCCTGGGTGTGGCACAGGGTCCTTTGCCGTGCTCCACCTCGCGCGGTGCCGGGGATGCTGCGGCTCGCTGCTGCGGGGATGCCGTGTTTGCTCCTTCCATGGGAAGGCTGCTCC